ATATGTGTTTATATAATGACGCTGGTCTAGAAAACGAAGGCTCGGGGTACGAGATTGGGATGTTTGTAAAAAAGCAAAAGAGTTGTCTGGAGATGGGGCTACATCCTCACCGAGTTTTCATTATCCTCTGTGAAGAAAGGGAACAACACTACAACATGTTCAGCTTCGTAACTTTTTCGTGACTTTTTTCGCAAGTTTCGGTGAAATTGGCAGTATCTTTGCACAAATATAACTCCTACAAGATAAATATCCTTTAACGTTCTTTATTTAATTTTTGCTCTATTCAAATTTACTTTCATTTTATCATTCAGTACGACAATCTCTGGTCATCATCCGAGAACGCTGTGTCAGAGCGCTGACGATTGATTGTAGAGGCGTGTTGATCTTCTCTTTTGTTGAGCCGTTTTTTACTTCCTCGTCCTGAAAAGTAGTAACATTTTTTCTTAAGAACCAAATCAAGATAAACAATACCATCAATATGTGAGTCATAGCGGGCAACGACTTCTCTTTCCGTAAAAAAAAATGAATGTGTTGTACTATTTTTCATTTTTCGAGCACGAAATCTTGTTACATTTTTCTTGGACTCACAGCAAGTTTAATTGCATGTGGGCTAGCAATTTTAGAAAAGTCCACATTTTGCAACTAATTTTTTTTTGAAATTGAAATTGTAGAAGTGGATCATTTGAATTCGGTACTTTGTGTTTTGAATTCATTTTGTTATGGACTATTATCATTAGTCATATGCAATTACAATATCTTTATAATAACGATAAACCTACTATAACTAGAGCGGGGACGTTCAGCAGGAACAGAAACAGCCTCTAACAAAAGCAAAACGGCCAACACCAAGATTAGCTTTGACTTCATGTTTTAACTAAAAAATCAAAACAAAATGAGTTTAATATGTTGGTTTATAGAAATAGTAGTCTTAGGGTGAGAGAGAGACTAAAAACTTAGCAGAACAATTTCAAAAATTAAAATAAAGGGATTTGAGGGCTTTTTGGGACTCTTAGACCCTGATACTCTGGCGGTAATTACTAATCGTGACTACAACTTAAGAATCTGTAAGTATTTCCCAGCAATAAGCAAAACAAACCCATGGCTCCTTAAAAGTTCGTGCATTTTCCATTTGCCATTCGACATTTTCTACAAAAAACTTTTCTGGAATAGGTATATACATCTTGTAGCGGTTTAATATACCTTTGAAGCATTTTTTAAAAAAGCATTTCGCTTCTCCGAAGATTGTTAGACGTAAATAACATGGCGAAAAGGTTTAAAACGGATTTCGTTTGATAAAGTGAATTTCACGCTTTACCTGTAAAGAAGCGCCTGAAACACACCAAATAAAACCAGAAACAACTTTGTTTTTGCTTGCTCTTCACTTGTCACGACGACTCGAAGAAACTAAAGCAGTACCTCACAGTAGCGCCCTTAAATAGTGACGGTCTCCAGTGGAGGGTAGGTCACAGTGTCAGTGTCTATATGTCAGTCGTCAGATAAGTTGAAATTTATCGACATTCAGTATGAAAACCTTTCCTTTAATTAGGCGCTCGGGAGGGTCTGGATGGGTGGATCTCAGTGATCTGTTGTCAGTTAAAATTTTGCCATGTGTTAATTGTGAGCTGCCAGTTTATTTGACATTGTTTTTGAATCATGAAACCTCCTGTCATTCATTTCACGGAAGGTCTGGTGTTAGGGGGTCGCAATATAGTTTGTCATTTGAAATCAAACTGTATTTGCAATTGTCTGTTAAATTGTTGCCCATCTTTTCATTTAACGTACTTATAGCATTAACGTATCATACCTATAGACTGATTTTTGGATCAGATAAGAGTTTGAAACGTCAAATCGTCGAGCACGCTTGCGGCTTATTGCCGAAAATGCGACAAAGAATGAACTACGACAGTTGTTTGTACCACAAATAACAAACGCTTTAACTCTATTGGAATACGTGGACCTAACTAAGCTGCTCTAGCTCTTCCAGTGATGTTGTAGATACCTCAAAGCTTAGAGGAAACAAGAGCTAAGAAAAAGGATTTGAAATGGTTCCTCCTAAGATACTTTGTACTTGAACATCGCTTCAACGACCTTCTGAAGTCTTCGTGAAGTCGGCCATTGCTTCGCATGCAATGGAGAACCCGCGTAGAACACAGAACAATTATTTTTATCAGGGAGGGGAGTCTCGTGGTATTAAAGAAAAAAATATTTGGTATTTCATTTTTAAGATGAAATTCTATTTCTATAATGATAAATATTTGATTTACATTTAAAAGCTATTTTATAAAGATTTTCAATTTCTCTTGGCGTTTTAGCTTCGATTTTTCGGATAGAATAAAATGACAGGCAGCCTACTCTACTGGGTCGAGTTTTGCTGTGCAAATTYCTMCYGTCGGRGGGTTATGTTTACAACATAAGCTTGTCAGCTTTGCGCTGATTGGCTAGTCGCATTTTCTCAAATCACCCAGATTATAATAGTGGTCAGAATTTTTTCAAATGACTTTTTTTTTATTCATTCATTCATTTTTTTCCTTTTTAACTCGAAAATTGCGAAGCAATCGAAGAGTTATTGGAGGGGGACAAATCTGTCACTCACTCAGTCACTCACTTTTCTGTAAACTTGAGCCTGTGTTACTTGTGTTCAAAGCTATTAATTTATTCTCATTGTTCTATAGTAATTTACTAATTAATTTACCGTTACCAGGTTCCCTGTTCTATATTTGACTGAATTTATTTTTATTTTTGGCAAAGAAAGAAATCTAAAGAAATGTCAACCCCGCCCTCTGGATTAGAAATCGGAAGGCACTACTAAAAAATCTATGTACTATGTTTACTTAAAATTCTATTTGTTAAGTAACTGTAATTTCATCGTATCGTTCCATATTCGTCTGCACAATCAATCTTCGAGTTGTGTTGCCATTGGCGGCTTGATTTTCTTCAGGCGGCCAATAGATGGTGGGGAAACACAACAGAGTGCTATAGTCTTGGACATAAATACTTGATAATTTTTCACTTAGGTTCCAGAAATGTGGTATCACTTGCCATGATAATATTTCCACACCCTCTCTCCCTCCCTCCCGCCCGACTTACAAGCGTCTAGATTTTTTATAAAAATACAGTACTTCGTAATTGAAGGAAACGTGCGTATGCGCGGGAGCCCTGTGTCGGTCCATGGAAAATTGACTCGATGGTATACCATTTTTTCTTAGCTATGGTGCTCGGCGCGGGAGCTCCTCTATGAAGTATTGGTCCAGAAATATAAACAAAATGGCGATACCGATCAAGCAGCAGAAATCAGAGCAAGCAATTTTTTGCTTCCATCATATAGAAAAGAGCTGAGGGAGGTTCTGTTTGACGAGCTAAAGTGGATGCATCTATTCAAAAGAGATCCCATTTATAAAAAGATAATAGAAAAACAGAGAAACCTTATGGATATTGAGAGCTATGACTGGGAAGAAGCAACCCAATCAGCCATTCATCAAAGAAAGTTTTTGTTGAACAAATTGTTCRCAAAAGAAGAAGTCCCAAAACAAAGCGTAAAAGAAAGATTCCATCCCTACAGTCGTAATTTTAGTGGTACGTTTTGATTGAAGGCTTGCATTGCCGGATAACATGCTAAAAAGAGAGATTTTGAATAGCGAAGAGCACTTTGAGCAGTTATCAATGCAAGGAGCAATAGAGTCCAAGGAATATCTCAAGGAACTTTTGAATTATCCTGACAAAGGACTTTTGGAACATGAAATAATCATCAGTGTCAATAATAAACTGCTCCAAAACGAAAAACTGTGTGCTTATTGCACAAACCCGAGAATGAGCACTTACCAGGGACAGGAAATATGCTACTGCGATCCAAAGGATATTCATTCTAGAATACAAATTATAGTGGAGCGTTTTAATAGAGTACTAAAGCGATGACGTCACAAATCGAAAATGTTTGAGTTTTGAAATTTGCCCTCCATATTCTGAAAGTGCATCATTTTTAATGCATCCTTACTTAAATATGAGTGTCTTAGGGTCATTTTTAGCGGAGATACAAGCGATTTTATGGACATGTAACCACATACAAACGCTTGTAAATTTGGTCTTGTTCATAACGAAAGGAGACACTTGCCGAATTTGTCCTAGCTTTCCTTGGCGTCCATCCATTTTCAAACGGCAATGAAAGAACTATCAAGTTTCTAATATGGAACGTTTTGAAAAGCTTTTACGAAGTTAAAACTTTCTATACTATTAGCTAGAGTACATGGTGTAAACTAGTGTATCACAAGTCACAAGTGGTTTCAAACTATGATAGTATTCAGTATATTGATAATACTGATGTATCAAGGGAAGTAAAAATAGGTCAACGATGATCCATTCATGTTTTCAAAAAAAAAATATTATATGTAATAAGTAAACCTTTTAGTTTATAGAATCGTTTGAATAAATGTTCTGCAGCAATGGCCCGGGGGGACGGGGGGTACTCCCATATATTTGCTATACGGGGACGTGCCGCTGGCCAGTGTATGGTTTTGGTTTTTGGCCTTGCTGTCTTAAACAGGGTATACATTTCACCCGAAATTGTCTTAAACAGGCTGTACAATTTAGATAAATTAAAAGAGACCGATATAATTCTTTTGTGTGTCTTGGACAGGGTAATATTTTCCTAACACCGTAGAAATAGTAGAAATACCGTTTCACTGTCCCAGAATTAACGTGTTATCAAAAACTTCTTATTGTCTTTGATGGATGTCAGTATATTTGCAGTTTTGATGGTTGCGGCGTAAATAGCTATTCCTTATTTTTCCGATTTGTCTTGAACAGGGTATGGATTTTTACTTTTTAGTGTCTTAAACAGGGTCAGGGATTTAGACCGCTGGCGGCACGTACCTATCCAAAACGTGGTCGAGTACCCCCCCCGGGGTACGGGTGCAACATGTTTCATGTCCCTTATAGGTTTCTGCTTCCAAAGAAGACAAGCATTGATTCAAGTCACGAAAATGTCGTCAAAGTTAGAGGATAATATTTTATCTCATAACTTTGGAGCAAATTATCACAAATTTCTTATTAAAAAACAGTAAATTAGGAGGAAATTTGTTATATTTTGCTCCAAAAAAGAGAAACAGATAAATTGATATTAAGAACATATAAAAAGATTGGCACCACACAGGCGCGCCCAGACAATTTGTCATCTTTACCCTTTAAGAGAATGTAATTGATCTGCACTGCACGAATAGAAAGTGGAAAATTATTATCTATTTCGAAGTAATTATACTGATTAATTAATTATACTTAATTATTATATAGCGAGGATGTAACACACGATTTCATTGGCTAAAAAGCGGGCCGTACTTTCCAGTACGGACTAGAAAAAACGAGAATAACTTTTTAAATCTTAAAAAAATCTCGCTTTCTCTCTTTTTAAGCATTTTTAATTTTCTTTTTTTCTCTTCGTTTCCCAGCCTTTTCTTTTTTCTTTCTATTTTGAATAACGAGAAAAGTACGAATAGAAACGTATTTTTATGTCCCGCGATTCTCTATTAATTTTACCATTTTCCCCGAAAACGCTATATAATGAAGATAAAATTAACCTCGCTTGGCCGAGCCGTGCGGGCAGGCGTGTAACTCGATCGCTTTTTTTCCACTTTTTTTATGGCGCTCGCGCTACGCGCTTTTGTCATATGTCAGCGGAAAAATATTCCGCGCCCCTGGCGCTCGGTTAATGAGATATTAGTATATTGTCGAAAATGTGTTATTGAAAAAACGTGTATATTTGGCTGCAATGCCTTCATAGCTGTGTGCAACGGACGTGTAAACTTTTGATTATTCCATGATTTCTTATGAATTTTTTACCGCGAATGATGTGACATAACTCTAGGCTTCGCTCTAGGCGAAGTGTTGATAATTTATATAATCTCTGAAAACGGTATTAAAACTTTC